GTAGAAGTGAAATATCGTTTTTGAAAAAAAAAAAAAATAATAATAATAATAATAATAATAAAAACGGCAAAAGTAAATTCAATAGCCGTATGGCGGAGAACATTACGCGGGGCAACGGTATAAAATACCCCCGCGAAAGGAATGCGATTGTACCGCGTCGTAATAATAAATATCGCGCGCGCGCTTGGGCAGCAGCGGCCCGGTGTTATTACAGTCGCCGCAGGTACGCGGTGGTGCGCTGTGCAGCGGGCGCAATAACGATAACGGACGCGATACGCGGGCCGCGTTTCGAAAGCCGGCGGAATTTAAAGGGTCGTTTTCGTCGCATTAAAGGTATAGCGCGGCGCGGGCAACATAGCATTTCGGTTTTCTTGTCGGATAAAAACGACCGTCCGTTCGCATTCCGCGCGCGATCCGGTGCCCACGGTATTATTATAACGGATCGCGCTATCGTTTCGCTATTATCGCGACCGCAGACTGCGCGAGTCGGCCGAACAACAACAACAACAATCGTAATGATAATAATATAATAGTTAAGAAAAAAAAAATAATAATAATAAATGAATAAATAATATCGAATGTCTGCGGTTCGGATCGATTCCGGAGCGCGGAAAAATATCGCGTGCCAAAACCGATAGACAAAAAAAAAAAGCTGTCCTAGGATAACAGGCACGGGTACGGCTGGACCGTTGCAGGTGAAACGTTGGCAAGGCAGTATATAGACGGGAATTTTATGAACGCCTGTAAGCGACGGTTAACCGTTGCTAACGGAAAAACGATTCTGAGCGGAGTTCGGTTAACAGTGTGGTTTTGCTAACAATATACTTTTGTAAAATAATTACATAATATGTATAATATATTTAATAATATTTATTTAATATTGTCCCTATATTTTGTTTTTCTTATTTAATCTACTTGGAAAACTCCTGGAAAATCAAAAAATAACCTCCTCCATAAAATACCACTCCGATCAGATTTCCTTTCAGAAAAAGTGCTAAAATTGTAAATCGGAGCAAAATTGCTGATGAAAAAGTTGTTCACACATAAAAAAATTAATTAATAAATATCTATCATTGTAAAACCAATACATTCTTCGGTCCACTCAGAATTTAACATTATGTCCGACGTCTGATGTCGGATATGTCGCTGTAATAGTTGGAAAGTCGGAAAGATACGATATTAGGTACATTATGTAAATATAGAGTATTTAAATTTATATCTGTATACGTAACGATAAACCGATTCTAATGAAAAACGATTTTGAGCGAAATCGATCAACAAATTTCATTTTGAAATGTCACGGTTTTTACGATTTCCATTAAAACTTGAACTTAAAACACGCTTATAAAAAAAACACTACATGGTACATTATTCTTAACTTGTACATAATATGTGTTTACCAACACATACAATTTGTGATGAATCTTACGTTACGTTGTGTAAAGATGATAATGTACATATATTATGTGCCATTAAAAATTAGAATATCAAATATAATATGTTTATATTTAATAGCTATAGCGATTCATTACCGAAATAATATTTGTCGATTATTTTAAATTAATTTGAAATCTGAGGAAAATTTAAATTTATAAAGCCGATTTTAGTAATTTGTTTTGTATTAACAATTATTCAAACAAAACTTGAAACAATTAAATTACGAAACACAAATTGTATGATCTAATAAGATATTTGCAATGTAACCACAACTCCCTGAAGCTGAAATTGGACTTTTTTATTGTTTGAATGTTAAAAAGGGCAAACCAAAAATCCAAAATAAATTGAAATTTTTATTTGATGAATGAATCAATTATAAAATTAATATAGATTAATTTTCATTGTTAGTAATTTGAAAATTGTTTGGTATTAATAGGTATACGTATATAAGAATGAAATTGAGAGTATTTGCAGTACGTTAAGAAAAAGAAAAGGTTATAATAGTTTATCTCAGTAATACATAAATATTTACCTACTTCTAAAATAAAACCACCGAATTAAGCAGACAGTTATTGACAAATAGAAATTTGATAATACGCTTACTTTTATATGCGATATTGGATTTCTCAATTCTGTATTACCAAAACCCAAAAAACCATCTGATGGGCAGTACTCAATTTTATAGCGGTAAATGAGTAGATTTTTTCGCCTAGCAAAGCGGAATGTTGATAAAGTAAAGTTATTCAACCTTATCTTCTTAGACCGTGCTCAGAATTTAAAATGTATAATTGATAACGTTGAAGTGAACCACTAAAAGTGTATAACAGTAGCGGGGAAAAGATGTACGGATTACTTATGTATTATACATTTATCAGTGCGGTCTATTTTTTCAAATTTATCAAATAAAAAACAAACAAAAAATAGGCACAATTGCACAATTGTTTGGTTTTATGTTTTTAATTTACATTTTACTATTGAAGACATGTCTTCTTTTTTCACTAAACATTGTGCAAGTAAATTGTACGTGGTGATGTACGGGACAGCGGGACACGTACCCCTGTCAATTATAAACTGTAAATTCCGCACGCTATATTAAAATATGTTGTCAGTTGGTTTTCGTCGTCTCTATTAAGTAAACGATGTATTTATACGCGTTGTTTAATACAAAATGATAATAAAATTAAAATCGATAAATATGCACTTGTTTGCATTTTTGTTTTGCCTTGCATCACTTGTTTGTAATGTACTCGTCCTGAGCGTAGCCAGAAGTAATAAATTATTTTTGTTTGCAGATATCTTAAAATGTAGAATATTTGTACTTGTTAAATATTAAGATATTTATTGTATTGCTAAAAGCCTTATTTGTGTAACTTTTATTTAATAATAGAAGATCAAATCTCAGTTTGTATTTTGTAAGCGATTGCTACACATACTTGAGTACAATATAAACGTTAAAAAAAAATATTTTGTGTGTTTTTAATGGTGACAGTAACTATTGTCTACCAAGTAAATTGTTTGAATCCTTGTTTGAAACTATTACCGATAAGACGATCATGCCGTGGCCTAATAATTACGCGTAATACGCGTCGCGTATTTTTTTATTACGTATAATAACGTTTTCCATTTGAACACACTCGTGTACATTTTTTGCCGACTATAACCTGTTGTCGTCAGTGCAGTAGAAATAAAGCGAATTTCATATTAACGGGTGTGTATTGTAATCTTATCTACGCGAGAGCAGAAAAACGACACCATCGATTTTGACGGCGTAACGGAGTAGATTATATTTAATATGTATGTTTTGCGATATTCGTATAAACTATGAGTGTATTTTGTCTGTATTTATTCTACAATATGTTTAACAAAATATACATGAACGCATTTTATTATGTACAAATAGTGGATATTAGGGGATTGGAAGCGGTGATTTTCCATCATTGTCTAAAACACACGAAACATAGGAATATTTTCGGCGAATAAATAAAAAATGTAGAAATCCCGATCTCAAGTAGACTTGATGACAAATTCAAAACTGTTGCCAGAACGTTTATCGCTTCACTAGATGATCTAGTCTAGATCAATCGGTACGTTAGAATTAAAACACGTTTAAATTCCTACGTTGCGTGTGTTTTAGACAAAGACTAAAATCACCGCTTCCAATTTCCTTATTAATATCGTACTATCGTGCAGGGTTGGACTACCTTTTAAAATAAGGTAATATAACAGCAGAAATATTTATTCTACCGGTCCCGAAAGATACACAGCAATGGCCTCTTTCAACTTATTACTTTATATCGCCAATATTTTTCGTCCTCTCTCCGACAGCTCGTTACGGCCAACCGATAGCTTACATTCTGTTGCTGCCTTGGACAACATAGCCGTAGAATGTGAGTAATTAAGAGGCCTAAAGCCCTCCAAAATCTCCTCTAACCCCCTTATCATTTCCCTTAAAATTAGCAGTTTTCTCGTTATTATTATATTTTTTTTTTTTTTGCTAAAATGTACGCCATGCAACCCCGAGGTCTTTTTTAACAGCAGGACACAATTTGAGTGTAACACATGTTACGTATAATACAAAATCCAATTTGTGTTTGACCCTGAATTACAAAATAGTGTGAACAAATTCTTGATAATACTAATCTAATATACCTAATATGATAATCGTTAATGATCATACTGTAAACCTTGATACACTATTAGTGTCGGTCTATAATATTGAAAACGTCTCTCTGTTTTAGAACCAAATAGCGGTTGTGTACTTGTTGTCCTCAGTATATCATTATTTTGAGCTAAAATGGGTGGGGGATCCCAGAAAAAATGAAAAAAACTGGGCTTTAGAATAACTAGACATACGGTGTGTTATTGTACTATAGACTCGTTAGGTACCTAGTATAGATTTGCCCTAACTCAATTGTAGGCCAATTCAACCATGCAGCAGTTTTGTAAATGATGCGCTATATATAATACGCCTATATACGGTGTTATCAAATATCAATGTGGTGTTAGCGCAGCACATATTTGACTTCACATTATCATCATACACGAGTGTAGGGCACTTCCAGCGCAGCAGTCAGATGGAAAACGCCACAAGTTACAGCGGGTCGTCTGGCGATGCAAGGTAAGCACGATGCAGGTGTACAGTGGCGTAGCCGGGATTTCGGGGTCGGGCGAGACCATCGAAACGGATTTGACCGTTAAAATTTGATTTAGTTTATACACAACATACCTAGATCGTAAAAGTCTAATTCGCTATACATTGTCTAAAAATGTATTTACGTTTCGGTTTATAAATTATGCAAAACTAGTAACGGCGGTCGGTATTATTAATATTGTGCGGATACCGATTGGCGTGAAAGTCGACGCCGCTGTCACCCTCGCCCCCCTCCCGTAATTACACCGCCGTCGCCGTCTACAGGTATTACGCGAGTAAGGCTGTACCCGTACACACTGGGAACGGACATCGTCAGGCACGTACGTCGGACGACGGTTTCTGATTGGAAACAAATGTCCGCGCGCAAGTGAGGCCGCCTACGGTGCGACGGAACGGCGGCACGTACGCCGTCCGACCCGTTCCGACAGCTTTGACCGTCGGTCGAAAATCAAATCATTTTGTTTTTCAACGTGCGTCGTCCGTCGCGTGCGTGCGTTTGGATCGTCAGCGCGTAACTATTTTTATTTTTTTTTTTTAACTCGTTTTATCATTTTTATAAGAACACGGATAAGACTTTATAATTGAATTGAACTGGCGAAGGAAAATCCCGACTTGCGTGAAATTTGTTAAAAACAAAATCTCGGAGGGGCAGTCCTGAAATATTCCTCGTTATTTATATCTTTATTAAATTCATGCGCCTAATTTTTTTTTTTTTTTTTTTTTTTTTTTTTTTAATGACATTACTGTTTCTGTTAGGAACCATAAAGCGAGACCGTCCTCGGAGTCACTCGTTCGTAATNTGCGTCGTCCGTCGCGTGCGTGCGTTTGGATCGTCAGCGCGTAACTATTTTTATTTTTTTTTTTTTAATGACATTACTGTTTCTGTTAGGAACCATAAAGCGAGACCGTCCTCGGAGTCACTCGTTCGTAATATACACTTGACAATTCACTAACAATTCACTAGTGGACGTGTAAAATGAAAAGCTGTCGGTCTCTGAAAAACCGGAGAAACGTGAGCGCGTTCGGATACGGCCGACATCCGTATCCGCACGTATGGGCAGCAATTCCCTTGACTCTACGCATGTGTCGTCCGACGCACACGCGTCTGACGATGTACGTCCCCGGCGTAGGTACACCGCTGAGTGGGATGTAACGGCCTTTTTTTCGCGAACGTTTGAACGCGCCGCCATTGTTATTAAGCGGCGCCCGCATGCAAATTGTATTATCGTCGCTGCGTAGGTACCGTTTCTCTATATTCCGGGGCGAACCCGGCAACGACAATAGCAATGTACACGCGACCACCACGCTTTGTTACGGGCGCGGACAGCCGTCGAAATTTCCGCACAACACGCCGGCGGGGGGGCGGCGGGCGGGAGAGGGACGGGAGTTACACGGTCCGAACGGTATACACTCGGAGGACGAGACGTGCGCCGGCACGCGCGTAATATTTAGCGCGACGACGGGTTATAGATTTTGGTCTCCGGGAACCGGCGGCGGCGGCGCGCGGGAGGACGAGTACGCGCTGCTGACGACAGTCGCTGTACGGCTCCGCGGGGACGCGTGCGCGCGGCCGTTCGTCCCGGACCTACCTACGTGTTGCCGCGCGCGAGACGGTACCCGCCCCGTACCGTGTACCGCCCCCCTTCCGCGGCGCGAATAATCATGTGTACCGGCCGCCGCGACGTAAAAGGTCGCGTCTCGATTGTTATCAGTTTTCGGTTGTAACACGCCGCCGTCCGCGGCCAAACGCGACGGACAACGACGCACCAGTTATCGGGGATACGGATTTGCGTATGCGCTGAAAACGAGCGCGTTTTGCAAACGTCGTAAAAACCAAAATAAATGGCTTACGTAAAACAAAAAAAATGTGTACAAAAACGATAAAGGCAGTAGAGGTGGGGTTTGAAAGTTTCCCCCGTCTGCTATTGTTTTTCGCTTATTGAAAATAATCGTTTTAACACAACGAATACGAACAGTACCGGAGAACGGATTTTATTGCAACAAAAAAAAATATAATTATAATATATATATATATATATATTATAGTATTGAAAATTACAAAAAATATAAACTTCATGAATTATAATTTTAAATCTTCTTTATAATGTATAAAATAACATGTCCTGACTGACCGACCGATTCATCAGCGCCTAGCCCGAACCGCTGGACAGAACGAACAGAAATTCGGCGTACAGGTAACTATTATGACGTAAGCATCCGCTAAGAAAGGGGTTTTGAAAATTCAACCCCTAAGGGTTTTTGGGTATTTTCGGTACGAATATTTAATAGTTTATTTACCCGTTTATTTTTGTTTATTCGTGGATTACCTTGGTGACATACATGACAATCTAGTTGTCACGGACAAGAAAACCATTATTATTATTACTATTATTTACACTATTATCTATAGCAATAGCAAAGCATTGCCGGGTCAGCTAGTATTAAATAAAAATAATACGAACGATGTAGGTTAGGAAGGTTATTCTTCTGGAAGAAAGCAATGAAAAACAACATATTGTTGAAGGTTTTCGAATGAAAAATGGCGACGGTTTGGTCGGACAATACTCTTATATTGACTAAAAGAACGTTCCACGTCAACGGATGTGATAGGAACGTAATTCATATTTACTATATCAGAAAGAGTGAATTCAATGACCAAAGATCCTTGTTGATTTTTTTCTTCTAAAATATCTCTGATGATTTTAATAGCTTGAAATCCCGAATTTTACTCAATTATAACTGGTGTGTTTGTCATATTAACTAAGAATTTTAATTGCGTGCCCCGGTGTGACTTCAACGAAGTTACATACCAATCGGATACGTACCCGAAATAATAACTGTGCGTCTTTCCGTCGAAAACAGAGGCGGCACACCCGTCAGCAGTGTCGGTTTTTCGGATTCGTTTGGTTCCCGATTAATAAAAATTATATTTTCATTTTCGACCGGCAAGACCGCCCGCGACGTACCTTATTGTTCGACCCGACACGCCGATTTAAATCGAATAATCGTGGCTGGCAATATACGAGGGTAATATGGCCGTACAATAACAATCGTGTCGCGTAACGATACAGTAAGTTATATTTTGAGAAAATCGATTGGGGATGATAATTTTCCCGGAGATATCGATGAATTTTTTGTCGGTTCTTCACATTTGTTGAGAAAAGCCCTGAGAAAATCGAAAAATGACCTCTCTAAAGTACCTCCCAGAGAAATTTCCATTTAGAAAGATTGCTATCGTTACGAAATTCGAGCGAAAATTGCTGTTAGAAAAGTCGTCCACAGAAAAAAAAAATAAACATCTTTGTAAAACCATAGGTTTCTTTTCGCTCAACTCAGAATCTAAAACAGTCATCAAATACGTTTATACTTATACCCTTTTCTATAGACCTGATGTATAACGAGGTCATAAAATACCGCATTTCAATCGCATCCTTTGGCGGGTGAAGACCGTTGTTTCTCGTCGCTCATCGATAATTATACACACACATTCAGCATTAATTCTATGACGACCCGGAAGATAATTCGCTGAACCCGCAGCCCATTTATACGTAAAACCGGGGCATCCGGGTGAAACCCGGAGAGGCGGCAACGCGCTAATATTGTAATACGGACCTATCGGGCGGATATCGCGAAAACGACAACGCATTCCCGCAGAGTTTGCACGGGAAATCCATCGATTTCCGTCGCGTTCACGGCCACCGAAAAGGAACGCCGGCCGCGACGAACGAGAAAAAAAAAATAATGATAATAAAAAACGCTTTCGCGGCCGGGCGAACCGGCGGCGGCGGAGGTTTACGGTTGGAGGGCGAGGGACGAGGGGCGCGCGCGTCCGCCGCCGTAATGACGGAAATAATGACAAATGCCTACCCGCGTATCGTCGTCGTCGTCGTCGTCGTTGTCGTGACGGCCGCCGAAAGTGAAACCGCCGGCGAACAGGCGGCCTCGGCCGCGCAAACTCGCCCGGCTACAACCCGGCGCGCAACACGATGCGGAATACGCACGCACGCGGCCGTACGATATCGATTGATATCGCCCCCTCCCCCCCAGGGTCAAGCCCGTCCGCGCCGAACACGCGTTTTACTACGCGCTCGATTTACGCACCGCGGCGTCTGGATTTACGCGCATAAAACGTTCACGCACGCCGCCGCACACGCGTAATACACAACAACATGACCGGGGCTCGGGAGGCCGGTTTAGCCGACTGTCACGACCGCGGTTACCGGACTCCGATCGCCCGGCTAACCGGAGATCTCGCCTAGTACATTAAAAAGCTGTCCTAGGATAATATGGGGACGGGCGCAGCCACCGTTACATGCAATTTAACGTATAATATCTGTAAGCAACACCGCGATATCAACGATATTGCTAACGGGAAAAAAAACGATTCCGAGCGGAGTTCGGTCGACAGTGTTGCTTTGTCAACAATATTATAATGTATGTCGTATATCGACGGTAAAACAATTACATATTTATGCATTGTATTATATTTTCGTTAATAATATTTGTTTAATTTTGTACCTATATTTTCCCGTTTTTCCTCCATTTTTTCCCCGGTATTTCCCATTTATCGGGAAAACTCCTGGGAGTATCAAAAAAAAAAATCGAAATATTATACAGTCGTTTAAAAACGAATAATTCAGTTTTTATTTCTATAAACGATGCATTGTATCCGGAATAATAATTAGAAAAACAGAAAAAAAACATATTGTCGTGCTCTCCGGAACATTGCTTTCTTTTAATATATTATAATAAATGATTTTCCCCTAAAACTAAAACTAAGCGAGTTCTACGCAGTCTGCCCGTTAGTTTGACCGAGAACGGCGCATACGGGTATAAAATGTCCTCTTAATGTTCTTTAATCGCCGTTTATATTATCATTGTTTATTTCATTTCGATTTTTTTTTTTTTTTTTTATCACGCAATGTCATATGACAACACTTCGCACGATCGGTTTTTCGTAACATTATTACGAAAAAAATTAAATAATTTGCGGCGGTGCGGAGCAGTTATTCGGTTTTATTGTTATGCAAAACACACCGTGCTCGGAACAGCGCGTTGTCCAACAGACAGTTTTGAAGACGACGATGACGAGAGCGATTTCGTCATTTACGCCGTCTGCCGTCCAAGACGGATGCCGAAGAGGGCTTTTCGATTGAATCGCATTTATAGTGTTGAGTATTACTATATGTGCCCAAAAGTACCGATTTATCGGAGTAATCAAAACATTTCCCCCTCCCCCTTTCTTTTCAAGTCTTCCGTCGTACGTGGGAAAACAATACGAATCTCTATCTATCACACGAAACGTCAGTCATACACACAAGTTGCAGTTATCACACACCGACCATAACCATCTCGATAACGACGCATAATCACGATTAGTTAGTTAGGTTAATCGCGACTGCCGTAACCGTAATTAGCGTCGTAGTTCTATCCAGATGTTGCAGACAAATCGCGATTAACTACACGAAGAAAAAAATTGTTCTACTCGTAAAAAATTTCGGGGGGAGGGGGGAGATGAAGGGAGAAGGATCCGAACCCCCGGCCCCTGCAGCCACGGCCTTGTTGGCGACGTGGGACCGGACGTTCACGACGGATTTACCGTAAACCGTCCGCGTAGGATTGCGCCGAACCGCGGTCGAAACGAACGGGCGCCGAGACTGAGACTT